ATAGAGCAGACTACCTAGGGGCGCTAGTTTATGAGTTTGGTGTATCTGAGGAACTAACTCAATCGCTGGTGGGAGCCTATCAGGAAGACCCTGTCTCGATGGACATCATACGCAAACTTCAGGCAAAAGACAAGGCCACAGAAGATGAGTTTGTGATGGTGGACGGGATTCTCTTTCTTGATAAGGCCGGATTTAAAAGGTTAGTTGTTCCATCTAGTGAACGTTTGCGTAGTTTATTCTTAGGAGAATGTCATGACCCAACCGGACACTTTGGCTACAAAAAGACGAGTGCCAGTCTAGTACAGCGATTTTGGTGGCCCGGAATGTTAGAAGATGCAAAAAAGTATGTTGAGACCTGTTAGGTCTGTCAGCGGGACAAGCCGCGTACTCAAGCACCGCTGGGTTGCTGAAGCCCTTACCTATCCCCGCTGGTCCAGGACAGAGTGTTTCCATGGATTTCATGGACACCCTGGTGACCAGTAGGAATGGCAAGAAACACATCTTTGTCATCACAGACCGATTCACCAAGTACGCTAGACTAATTGTGATGCCAGAGACCGCAAGGACTGAACACGTCATCAAGTTGTGTTTGGATAACTGGGTGCGTGATTTTGGACTACCTAAGTCAATCTTTAGTGACAGAGATGTCCGTTGTAGGGGCCGTACCCTGAAGGACTTTCGAGCCTCGGTCGACCCCACTGCGGGTCCCATTTGGCTCGAACCACCTACGCTCACGCTCAGGGCACGGGTCATTTGTCCCAAGGGCACCCCCACATAGTGCTTTGAGATGGATGGGGATGGGCCTTTTACGAGAGGGCTTTACATTGGGGGATGTAGCTCCGCTCTCGCGTCAAGATGGTAGCTCTTTGGCCACTCATGGCGTTTTCTTGATTCGATTAAGTCTGGCCAGGCAATTGCTGATTCCAATACGCAAGCAGTCCAGGGAGTTTATTGAAGTTTTGTCTTCTTATCACGCGCACGCATCTTTTCACTAGTCTAGTGGCTCAAGACAACCCCTACGGCATCCTTGGGGTAGGGTGGCATCGCCCGGACCCCTAGCCGCTATATTTTTTTTTTGCTTGAACCACCAACATTGCATTCACCTACCCACGAATGCCCTTAGTCCTTCCGGGCTTGCATTGCATTCAAGAGAGCCATTGCATTCAATCATCACACAAGCCCCACCCCGGCGCCTACCACTCATTCAAGCATCCGACCATCCAACCGATCCTGCATTCATAGTTTAAGCGGGGTCTAAGTCCTTCCCTCATTGCTTTCCCTATTCCCGCCCGCATCCGGCGGACGCAGTCCCGCTCAGACCACCCTAGGCTACTCACCTGCGCAAGACCACACAAGCAAAAGCCAGGTACAATCCCCATTGGGGTCAACACATCGCCCCTCCCACAAGCCTAAGTTCCTTTTGCCTTTGATGATCCTTTGGTTAACTTTCCCTTCACTCAAGCAAGCCATGGCTTCACCTTAGTCATGCAGTCCGGGAAGATGGTTGAGTCAAACTGACCTCGTCCAAAATCAGCACTCCTTTCCGCTTTCGCAATTGCTCTCAATAGTTTCGTATCCTTCCCTTCTTGGTGGCACAAGGGACCGGCTGCCCTTCCCTTGCCCTCGCTTTCCACCAAGTAAGGACTAAGTTCCTTCCCGTTCGTTCCCTGGCAATGTAACAGGTGAGGGTGCAGGTTAGTCACATGCCATGGGGGGGGGGAAGGGGTGACGGAAGGGTTAAGGGTTAAAGAGTTTAGAAGGAATGGAGGAAAGCGGAGGAAAGAGGGGAAGG